AAAAGTATCCATTTGTAAAAAAAAGGAAGAAGAATTGTAATAAAATTTAGCATTATATTGTAAAGAATGAGTGAGAATTTAGTCATATTTATAGGGTAGTATAAGTTATAGAATGAGTGAATTTTGGCCGGAGTAAATTACCATTAATAAGAGGTAATAATAAAGTATAATAGACGCATGACGATATTGCTAAAGAGGAAGAATTGGGCAAATTATTATTCCCCAGAAAGTATTTTAGAATTTTAAGTGGTTCTAAACATTGAGAAGCATGTAAGCGAGTAATTCTTTCTTCTATTCTGCTTTTCCGTTGTAGACTGTGGTTGTATTGCTCTTTAAAAGTAAATGTACTCTTTGATCACTAAGAGTCTGGTAGGTTTTTAAAACGATCTTTTAAAGCAAAGTGTGATTGGAGTCTAAATATGTTATATCTGCGAATTGAATCGGCTATCTATATTTTAAATATCGTAGAATTTTAAATAATATCCAATAATGATGATACACTCCATGATCTTGCAACGATAATGTAAACACCGCAAGTTAGTTTACTATACAACAGACAAATTCATGAGACTAGAATGCTAGTTATAACATTGAGTGGAAACACGTATGTATCTGTGAAATTTGTCATTAAAAGAATTTGTAATATCTATATTATAAAAAAACCTATTGAAGGTGAAGGTTAACACTGAAAGCACCGAAGCATTTATTAAAATATTCAAAACACGAACTTAAAATTAATCCGGTTAAATTGTACTTACATCGAGCAGGTGTGGCATGTTTACCCACTATAATTAAAAATATCGCTTGATACCGATGCAGTCTTTAATAATAAATGTTTCGTACCATTGGTATGAATAAACATCTCCTTAAATTCTATCATTTTTGTAGTATTTCTATAAAATATAGGATCGAAATTTAAACGCAGATTAATATTTGATAGTTACCGTATCAAATATTATATTAGATGATGTCATTATGTGTACATCTAGGTTACAGCGACGTTATGTAAATCTCTACCTGCCCCTGCAACTGTGGTTACTGCTTGTAAAACTTTTATATTTTTGGTATGGTGATAATTTTAAATGCTATGCATGTCTTGCTTACTATGCCAAGAAGAAATATTTCCGACGACAGTATGCAAAGGTGATTTTAATCAACCCTCGGAGTGATTCACCTTCTAAATAAATATAATTAAAAGAAAAATCTACTATTAAGCTTAGATTGAATGTATCTTATTATAGCTTACGTAGTCGCTTGTTAATTCAATTTGATTCTATGGACTTTTGTACTAACTGTAATCGTAATTCGCTGATTAATTGGCGTTACTTATCCTAGTATTAGCAATATATCATTTTGGTTATTGTGTCGCTCGTGTAATAATCTCACAATCTGAACTCGCTTTCTTTAAAGGAGAATTTTCTATTCCAATTATTTCAAAGCGTCCCTGGACCAGCCTAATAGCAATCTGATGAATAAATTTTTAGATAAAGCAAATTAGAACTGTTAATTTAGATAATTATGCTATCAAGTTAAATTTCAGCCGTAATAAGCCTTGTTATTGACGTTGCAAAATAAGAAAACCATTTCTAATTTAAATATACAATTCGCATAGATAGCTACTGAAATAATTATCGTTTCAAGAAAGCAATATCAACAATTTGAATTGGGAATAAGTAGTATTTCGATCTTAGCCATTCGACTATATGGCTGTGATTGCTGCAAACGTAAAGATTTTGTGGTGAATATTGTTAGTTATTTCAAGGTATGATATTGGCTTAATAATTGTTGACAGGTTCAAAATGGATAAAGTAATGGAAATCGTCGATAAGAAACCATCATATATGAAACAAAATACCTTATTAACCATTTACTATACAAAGAATAGCGCTGATTTCTTATTTCAACCAAATAAGTTGCAAAGCAAGAGGCCATATTAACGACTCGAAATAAACATAGGAAATCTTTTCCAGAGATTTTAAGCTAGTTAATTGTATTACAGCAAAAGAATCAATTTTGAGTCGTTCATGGTTCTTCCCAATTGCACAAAAATTTTATCTATGGAAACTTTTGTCATAAGCTTGATTTCTGCACCTATTGATGATTGTATCGGCTATTCTAAATGTAAAACCGCGTATATATGTTTAATGCTCTATTCGTAGTAGTTGTAATACTATATTATTGTAGGTACTGTTTTATAACATCAGAACTGCAGTAGTAATTTACGATTGGATCGATAGTAAACTGCGTCCAAGAATATTTTTTACTTTATCTACTAGGCTAAGACTAAGATTGATATTACTCAAGTTAAAAGTATGACACTTTTGCCTCTCATTTAAAGAACACAGTACCCTAAGCCAACTAATAATTACGCTAATTGCATGTAAGAGACGTTCAAATAATTCATATAGAGCAGCAACAAAACTCTGGATCAGATCTCTGTAAATACTCGTCTAATACTCTCGTATAATGTATTCAAATGCTTTACGAAAATGTACTGAATCTCATTAGATTAACTTTTTTGTATGAACTGGACGCATATAGCCCAATAAACTTTCAGAGTGTGCTGTATTGATATCAACAGCATCTCATGCAGTGATAAATTTTAAGCTACCATTTTGATCATATTATTATTTTCATAATAATATGTCTGATAGTACTGGTTAAAGGTACTGAAATTGACTGTCTGAAGTCGTTTGAGATTAAACTCTAACAGAATCAATAATATATAATAAATGGTGTAATTATGATAATTCATTTGTTTCCGCTTTGGATCACAGAATCAGTTGATTATAATAGCAACAAGAAGAAATAATGCCAAGCTGTCTAAATGGGGCAATTAAGGCAATCTGCTACATATGCAAGCAGCATAGCTACTTACGTTACAGTCAACTTATGTTCTGATCTAGGTATGATATAGGTGTTGTCCACTTAACGACATTTCAGGGTTATTAATTTTAACTTTTTTTACCATCTTGAAATGATAACAAGCTACAGCATATCCTATATCGGGTTAATGCAATATATCGTGATTTACCTGAGCAACATATTTTATAGCACTCAGTGAGTACTTTATAATTGTTTGCTTTGAATGACATTTGTGTATAAGCATGCATACATATATTTCAACACTGATACAACACCTTTGAAATGGAAATACTAAGATACGTATGCAGCGCTGCAAAATCTTAATCTCACTTTTCAAATAAAACAATGTCTACTTCGTCCTATATAAAATGATTCCTATGGCAATCTGGACAACTTCGCCAAGTCAATAATTATGTTCATCCTGAATAAGATAAATCCTTACGGAACACATTCTAAAGTCATACATTGACTAAAGCTTCATTTATTTATTACTTACATAGATGTATATTCATAATAATAATTACAGATTGTGATACCCATGACAGTCTTCCACTGCTAGTCCAGTATCAGGATTGGAATATGGAGCAATATTAAAAATATGAATCATCAAGTGCAAGGTAGAATGCAACCAAAAAATTGAAAATTATTTTGTACGGAGGCAATTAAATATACGCGTATAGCTGTAAGACTAACATCAATTGTAATTCGTAAAGTGATGTTCACATACAATTCAGCTCATAGTAGCATATAACTATTACTATCAAGAATCAATGTACGTGAGCATTCGGGCTGAAGTAATATTTCAGCGATAGTCCGTATTAGCGAATACAAAAGTTGAAATAATTCATTCATTTTATGTACAGTGCCGTTTTAGCGAAGGCCTGCAGGTTTCAATCAGTAATTCCATTTTAAATTACGTTATTTTTGGCAGAATAATGTGAAGTTACTGACGAATTATATAATCTATTTACATATTTATATTTTAATAACATTAAAGACCTATTACATAGCATATTATTTAATGAGCATATTTCGTTACAGGATAGCACAAATGCCAAATACTCGCAGAATTATTAAAAGACAGATATTAAATTGTATTTCGATTAGTATCAAAATCATATTTGAACAGAACGCTACGACAGAACACAGTCAAACTTGCTCTCCGATTTCTGAGAAAAAAAGTAATCGAACATCAGAATTAATTAATATGCTAAACTGCAGTAGTAACAGTGAAATAGTCAAAAGAACATTAAAAGGTCGCTATACCTTCTGATCTTTCCTGGTTGGGTTGGATTCTTGCAATGATGCGGCGATAGCCTGTGCTAATTCTTTGTCAGAATCTTCTTGTTGCCTTTATGAATAATGACGTTTTATTAGTATTTAGTGCGTAGTTCATAATGAATTTATTGCTCTTTAATTAAAAATGTTAATAAATAAACCTGGATGCCGAACTTGACGATTGCATTCCTTGATGCGTCGTGCCTGAATCTGCCAAAGATGCTTGTACTGCAAGCGCATAAGCTTCGTCTTCTGTCTAATTGTAAAGGAAAGTTAAATTTTTATTTCTACTACCATTTATGTAACTAATATATAAGTACTATATCGGATATCAAATATTACCATTTGAGTCTGAAGTTGTCCATAATTTTCTTGTACTGGTAACTGTCTCTTATTGCCATTTGCCGAACTTAATTGCTGTCTTTGGAGTCGCTCTTGTCTTTGTCTATTATTGTCATTATAAAGCGTTACAATACTGAAGTATGAACGAACCCGAAATGATATATTAAATAGTCATAATTTAAATTAGGTATTGTAAATCAACCTGTTAAGTGAACCCCCAATTTGTGATAATGTCGATTGCTGGTAAGAGTATTTCGGCCTCGGATTGATGGTTTTAGTCGTACCGAGCCTATTACTGGTTGTAGATCATGAGTAACATGTTTTAGTTTAGACAAATTTAAACATTTTGAAGATACACCAGAAATATGGAGCTTAAATTAATTTGATAATCAAATAAAAGAACAGTGCATTTCCTTTAACAGGTAAAAGATATTTCAGTCCATTAAAATTGATTATTTCCGATACTTTTTGACTCTGGGCAACAAAGATTTAGTTCATTGGGAATGAAACGATTTTTACCTAGGTTGGCAGTTATGATCCTGTTCATGTCGGTGTTTAAGGCAAAAGTTTTTTTTACAACTAGGACAGACAACAGGAACTAGCTGCAAAAGTCCAAAAAAGCGCAAAAATTCAATACAGTATCATTTACCATGATAGAAGACTGTACATGTATACGTTGTGATTATAATTGTTTAATAATGGTAAATTGTTCGCTAATATTCAAAGCGAATGTTAACGTAAAATATTTGCCAATCAGTTGCTGATTCTCGTTACAATCCATATTTGAGTAGCGTTAATCAATTACGAATATACGTACCTCAATCATTTTGCAACCTTTAAGTGAGCATCGATTACTTCGCTTAACAGGTTTCTCAAATTTGCAATCATTGTCCATATGCCTACTAACCTATCGATTCATCGGACAGTTAGTTTAGAAATAATCCGTTTCCAATTGCAATTAGAACGTCCATTTGGAGTAACAAACTTCAATTGAATATTTCAACTAAATCTTAAGTAGCCTAACCAACAACTACAATGACTGGCGCACCTTACTGCTTTACTACACATAGGTCTTATAAGGTAAACGAAACATGAAATTACCTTATCGTCCGGTGATTCACCCTTACCAACTGGTACTGGTTGATTGCATAAAGGGCAGACAGGTACTTGTACATCCTAAAAAGTAGCATTGAATTCCGTTGTAATAGAATGGTAATGGAAACGTTTCAAATACAAGTACATATCGGTGTCATTGCGACTCCGTCATCAGAAGAGACGAAGATTGTTATGAATAATTTGGCAACACTGTAGGTCGTATCTAACTGAATCATTCCTTACACTATGGATATGAAAGGTTTTCAATTGCTGTATTCTAAATCACTGCAATGTCTACAGTATAGTAAGACCTTCACATATCTTCTATCGTGAATCTAAGGCGGTATTGTTTCCATCTTTAACCAATTCTAAACAAATTACTGTATAGCATAGTTTTAAAAGCATACACCAATGTCTTATGTAAGTCTGTAGTAAGTAATTGCTACTTTATTTGCTGAATTAGTATACACAAGTAGTATTTACGAACCAATAATATAATATGATGTTCTCCTTATTACAAATGTAATATTTTTTTGATGGATTCAATCAATACTACGGTGCTCAAATTGACATTTAGAATGTTGGACTATCAATTATTTCCGATAAGTATCCATTCTTGTCACTAGATTTAGAAATTGGTAATCGATCTAGATTGGCCTGCTATCAAGAAACGACTTGTATGCATGCAAGCAAGTAAAGATGGCTTTGAGGGATATAAGCAGGTTACAGAAGGAGAATGATATTATCAATTACTGCATCAAATTATCCATTTTAACATAATAATCAGTTGATGATGAAGTATTACCTTGGTATAGGCTAATGGGCAATTATGCGACGTATAAAGGTAATGGTCGTTGCAAAATATCTTATGACAGGCATTACACTTTACCGGTAGAAAGTCTAAGCAATAAATCAATGAAGCATGATTACCATTTGGCGTATGAACTAGCAGTTAAGATGCGTTGATCAAAAGCTTGTATAGAGTATACCAGTTGCAATTGCTTATGCAATGTCAATAATGTTGATGAAAATGCAGGATATTTTACATCAAGATGGATACATGATAGTAGACTGGAAGATAGGCTACGTCAGTAGCACTTTCTACACACCATTTTACAGCACATCGAATGGAAGGTAAGTCGTACTAGGGCAAGACGATCAACTGGCGTCATGGCGATTTATGAGATGGGATATTCTTCAACTACAGCATGCTGACTCCAGCTTTTATTTACTAATAGAATGAGTCTAGTACAAATTGTGGCATTTCCCACATCTTTCCCCTCTCTAATAAGATCGATTAGCAACTGCAAAGCAAATTGAGCCTATTCATTGATCATGCCATCCCTATCCTATCCGCAAAACAATGTCATCAACATCATCCCTGACAGTAAGATTGTAGCAAGCAAGTAGCAACTGCATTTGAAAAATAGGTATCAGTACTCTCTACTCTACTTGTACTATCACTGATGTCAATGGTGGCCATCTACCTAATCTTGAGCATTGAGGATTGGAGCAATTTTGGCCTAATTGAGGGAACTCCATCACCATTCAAGCTGCTGCTGTAGCCTATCGCGGCCGGTTGCCAGGATTCGATTTGTTGTGATTGAAGCTACATGATGACGAAACACTTTCAGCGACATCAACACAATTCTGACTACCGTACGGTGGGGTGTTGAACGCCTACACCGTACAGTATAGCAGCTAGACTTGGTCATGATACAGCTTGCTGCATCATCCTGTATGGTACTGTCCTGTACAGTGTACAGTATGAAGTTTCGTAGGCTACGGTACAGTACAGTACAGTACTGTACACTGTACTAAAAATAGCTTTGATTACAGTACTACTACGCACTGTACACTGTACTGTACACTGTACAGTACTGTACAGTACAATACTGTACAGTACTGTACGCTAGGGTACCATGACTGTTCTAAGTACTGTATGTCTACACCGTACAGTACTGTACAGTACAGTATAATAGCTAGACTTGGTCATGATACAGCTTGCTGCATCATCCTGTATGGTACTGTCCTGTACAGTGTACAGTATGAAGTTTCGTAGGCTACGGTACAGTACATACAGTACAGTACAGTACAGTACAGTACAGTACACTGTACTAAAAATAGCTTTGATTACAGTACTACTACGCACTGTACACTGTACGCTAGGGTACCGTGACTGTTCTAAGTACTGTATGTCTACACCGTACAGTACTGTACAGTACAGTATAATAGCTAGACTTGGTCATGATACAGCTTGCTGCATCATCCTGTATGGTACTGTCCTGTACAGTGTACAGTATGAAGTTTCGTAGGCTACGGTACAGTACAGTACAGTTGTACAGTACAGTACACTGTACTAAAAATAGCTTTGATTACAGTACTACTACACACTGTACACTGTACGCTAGGGTACCGTGACTGTTCTAAGTACTGTATGTCTACACCGTACAGTACTGTACAGTACAGTATAATAGCTAGACTTGGTCATGATACAGCTTGCTGCATCATCCTCTATGGTACTGTCCTGTACAGTGTACAGTATGAAGTTTCGTAGGCTACGGTACAGTACAGTGTACTGTACGACAGGGCGTACTGTACTAAAAATAGCTTTGAGTACAGTACTACTACGCACTGTACACTGTACACTGTACACTGTACACTACAGTAATCCACGGTAGTGTCATGTTGGTATCCTACTGTACAGTGTACAGTACTGTATAGTATATACGGTACTGTACGCTAGGGTACCGTAACTGTTCTAAGTATGCCTACACCGTACAGTATAGTAGCTAGACTTGGTCATGATACAGCTTGCTGCATCATCCTCTACAGTGTATAGTAATGTAGTACAGTAAAGTACTGTACTGTACTGTACTGTATGTAGTGACGGTACTGTACTGTAGAGTACAATGCTAATTCAATGAATGAGATACGGTACATGTACTGTAAACTGTCAAAAGTTCTACTGTAGTAAGAGAAATCCACTACTGTACTGTACAGTGTACAGTACTGTGTCTGTACAGTGCTAAGTTATAGTATCCAAAGTGGAGCAAGAACTGGACGGTACTATCGTCCCTGGATTGAGCACGCGCAGTCTTGGCTCCCAGACCATGCGTATACTACGCCGTCATGGCGAGTATTGTGACTCACTTTGTCAGTGGAGTCTACTGTATAGAGTTAGTATTCAACGATTGAGATCTTTTTACTTCAACTTACAGTCATGGAGAAATGACTGTGTCAAGAATTGCTTATTTTACCTAGTAGAATGGAATTGTACAGTACTGCACACTGTACAGCATAATCCATCAATTTATTGAATGAAGCTCATGAACTACAGTACACAGTGGGACAGTATTGGTCGTCCTTTCCTGTACAGTACAGCACAGTACAGTATGACAGAGTACAGTGTGTATGAGCAGTACAGTACACTACAGTATTGTCCAGTACTGTACTGTACTGTAAACTACAGTACAATGGACTGTAGCCAGAAAAGATTACTGCCGTACTCTACACCACTGTCTCGTGTTCATCAACACTCAGCCAAGCGAGTCAAGACGGTAATTAGCCATCAGAAATCACTTCAACATTAGTCCATCGTTGATCTCTATTCCATTGGCCTTGTATCTTGCGACTCTTTGATTCTTTCATTTCCTTATTATTCAGTAATCGATTACTGTCAAGACCAACATGCCCAAAAATAAAGGTATTTATTAGCGTTTTTAGCGATGCACAAGAGACAAGTGTGCAACGATCATGATTGACTACTTGATTGTAGAGGATAGCATGGAGAGAATGACGATAGCGTCTAAAATTGCCAATACTCGTGTCTAGGTAAGGGAGGTAAAAATCGCCGCCGTGGTAAGAATGAAAATGAATCCGAGAAGCGTGAACTGATTTTTAAAGAAGATGGACAAGGTTTTTATATCCATTTTAGCTCTTATTTGTACAGAAGCATGATGATAGTATGATATGCCTTTCCTTGTTCTACACATTCCTCTTGACTTCATGCCATACTAATGAGATAAACCACTTTCAGAATACGCTCAAGTCATTAAGATGTTAGGCAATGGCAGATTGGAAGCGTTTTGCTTTGATGGAACCAAACGGTTATGCCATATACGTGGAAAGTTACGTAAAAAGGTATCGTTTACTGGCTACAAATACAATTGAAAATACACACATACGTGCTGGAAATTCATTTTCATATTCTTCCCATACAGTGTCATCAATTGTTCGCCGCAATAGCAATCAGTAGGCTATCTAAGTGATTCTGTTTGTTCACATACAAGTAGAATGCACCAAAGCAATCATTCCCACATCACGGCCATGTTCGTTTTCCTACCTTTATGGAATAGTTTGTAAACATGCAGTGCCACTTCTTCCATGTCATCTTTGTCCTCGGTAATTGACCCTCATTTTACCCACAGTATATTTGAGTTGAAAATTACTTTGATGATAACCTCCAATACCACACACCGTAACAAATGTCCATAACGAATCTTCCACTGCAAAATACATCATTCAAGGTGTGCTGATACAAGACAATGCTCTTGTCTATCCAAATTGGCATCAAAATACTAGTTGATCAGTGTATGACTTGAAAGATTGTCAATCTTCTTATGTTACAGTAGTGCCTCAATTCAAGCTTTGCTTACTGATCATTTCTGTAGCTAAAATCAATTCGACAACAACTGTTCGACGTCAATTTGAGAATAGCCAGTACAAATGAAATGAAATAGTTTGACCTACGTCAATTGGAAAAGAACCAGTACAAGACATATAATAGCTTTACCTACATCAATTTGAGAATAGCCAGTACAAATGAAATGAAATAGTTTGACCTACCTCAATTGGAGAATAGCCAGTACAAGAAATGAAATAGTTTGACCGAAGTCAATTTGAGAATAGCCAGTACAAGACATAAAATAGTTTAACCTACCTCAATTGGAAAATAACCAGTACAAAACATGAAATAGCTTGACCTACGTCAATTTAAGAATAGCCAGTACAAATGAAATGAAATAGTTTGACCTACGTCAATTGGGAGAGAACCAGTACAAGACATGAAATAGTTTGACCGACGTCAATTTGAGAATAGCTCATACAAGACATAAAATAGTTTGACCTACCTCAATTGGAGAATAATCAGTTGAAGACATGAAATAGTTTTGGCCTAAATGCCAGTAAATGCTAACTCTTAAAACTCTCATTTCAAATTGCAGGTATGGATTAATCAAGGTGATATTATACTTCTTGGGTTAAGAGACTACCAGGTGCGTACTACCTACATATCTCAATCGATTGAATTCATAATTATTCCCAGCTGCTTTATTTTCATCTATCTTAACGCTTTGAGATAAAGTCAATGATGCATTTAGTGTCATTGAAATGATTTGTAAGTGGATTCCTGTTTTGAAAATGTGCTCTTAAGTGATCACACATGACTGGCATGATTTATTAGCTAACGCTACTGTAAACATTCTGTATTATTATTATCGTTGTTCACAATGATGACTGAACAGATTGATCCAATTATCCAATTAGGATGCTAAAGCTGATGTTATTCTGAAATATACGGCCGATGAAGCAAGAAATCTAAAAGCGTATGGAGAATTGCCTGAAAATGGTACATTCATCAATCTTTTCATTATGATGTATCATTGCGCTTGAATTGACAACCAATGTATTCAATCGTTTGCAGCTAAAATTGCTGATACAGGAACAATGGAAAACGAAGAAGAAGACGATATCACTTTCGATATTGATCAAGAAGATGATGAAATTGATGATGTAAGTTGTCGATATTTACCATACGCGTAGCAATGTTGATTGAGCAGTATTTCTAATATGAAATTGACTATGATGGTCAGTTTTGGAAAGCACTTCTTTACTGGATGTGCTGGTGTATGACTACATGTGCTCATCACTACCTGCGACTCATTTTCTTGACGTTACTAATTGGATACTATCTAGATATAAAAATTGCTACCGCTTTGAATATGGAAGATAAGGTTTAGCCTTAAAATTGGAATGGAGAATGGATTAATGCCGTATTGAATTTCAAATACCGATTATGATATTATTGCTATTTAATTAACTTAAAAATAGTTTTTAAGTATTTGTTCTATATTAGTGTCACGATAATCATATATTAAGCTGGTCCCGTTAATTGCGCGGGAGGTAATGTTATTGGTACTACAGTCTATTACAACTTTAATGAAGGATTGTATAGTATTGTCCTGAAACGCTGTAATTTCGCCTGCTATAAATATGAAAGAATCTTGTAGCTAATGTCGGTACAGTTGAAAGGATAGTCTAGTAGCGTAGATAAATTACAATTTCGATATGCTATTCGCTTATTCCTTAGCTTTGAACTTAACAATAGTATTTGGACGATTATTACCAGTGCAGGATAGGAACACTTTGTAACCTATATCGAACAGTTTTCAGTCTTATGAAATTTATTCATCTTTTGATAGTCTAGATACTTTTACGCAATGTATCTCGATTCGTTGCTTTGGGTCGTATAACAATTTGTGATCCTCTTCACATTGGATAAAATCACTGAAATTAACCGATTATACAATATAAAAATCGTAATTATTTTTACTTGTTTTTGGAGCCTTGATGCTTAGGAAGAAAAGTTGGTCACGCTTTTGCGACTAAGATAATTTTGAATCGCTTCATTATCCTGAATCGTACATCAACGATCACGACGCCTTTGAAATCAATCTTGTAATTCGAGAATTGTATAGTTAAGGATTGAGTAGGGATTTAAGAATAATCACTTATTAAAAGATGGTCTGTAACAGAAAACTATAGCTTTAGCTAGAAGGTATAAGCGTTAGTTCATATCATTTATGGTCAAATTTAAAAACTACATACAGTAAATCTATCTTATCGAAAGCTGTCAAGTTACATTAAAGTTTAGATAAAGTGAAGTAGGTGCGAAGCTATTTATTTAACAGCGGTTAATGACCCAGGAAAGAGGATAGGAAAGGTGACACTCAAAAACAAGCTTTAAATTTTGAAAGCAATAACCGCTATTTGAGCTCTGATATTTGTACTAGTTAGCGTGTGATTGATGATCGCTTACTTATCCTAATGAAGAATTCTAAATCTGCCCTGGTCACTTTACCTTGTGATCATGATTAAATGAATCATATTGATCGTGAAATATGCTGTTAATGCCTGTGATGGCCAAGTTTTGTAATACATCGCGCGATTGAAAACATTGCCCGTAACATATCGTGTTATTAGATATGAAATCATCGCAAAGATACCAAATGTTGATGCAGTAACATAATTGAATGGTTGTAGATGAAGTACCAATAAGGAATTGGCGATTGCTCGTACCATGTTTATAAAAACTGAATTGTTAGGCACTCAAGTAGACACCGTTGTGTACAAATTTTGAAATTGTTATAGCAATTTATTTCTAAAATAGAAATTGTCAAAGTATAAAATAAAAGTGTAGCTCGTCTGGAAGCACGAGTATATTGTACAATTTCAAGAAATACCACTAATTTCGAAATATGTTCCGCGACGACTGCTTCACTAACTTACAAAAACGTTCGCCTATTCCAACATTTTAATAATAGTTACTTTTAGTGCATAATCTACAATCTAGATTTTTATTTTAATGTAGAAACTGCTGAGGGATGTCTTGAAAGATTGTAATTCTATTATATGAGAAACACGCAAAAGTCGATTATTGCTCTTCTTACCAATAAAATAGCTACGAGTATATTACTAAATATCCCCATCGTCGCATACACCACAGAATCTACAATCTACATTGATATTGTACAGAGTGTAAACTGCATTTCAAAAAGAAATGCTTAAGATACTGTATTTCTCAAGACGAGCATATCAATGATTGCTGTATATGAGTACAGACATACCCATCTTACTGTTATACACATCGCAGATGACACATTCATAATTATTAATCTGCAATCCTGTACGTATTTTACAGTCAACCATATCCAAAAGGTCGTCAAGATCGCATTTCTATGACAGGTACAATAACCTGCATCTACTTCTTATTCACTATAGATGCAACCTACAATGATTGTACTCTTTTCCTTCTCATAAATTTATGTACCCATTTTCGCGTTAACTTTAAGTAAAAATCAGGCTCCTGAGGGCTATAATCGAGATATTTAAAATCTAAATATTCTTTGTGGACAGCCTTTTCTATTTGTGTTCCTTCATGCCATTCATTAAATGAAGTTATTGATATTATACTTGGGTTAATTTCAAGTGCATGGTTCATTCCTTTATCATAGTAATCCCCATTTAAACGGTTACGTGTATTTTGACTATTCCATGGTCGGACTCGAGTATCAATATAACCCGGTCCAACACTAGGAATAAAAATGGATGATGATTCTAGAGAAAATTGCTTGAGATTTTTCCAGTTTTCCTTTCTTGATCCATATGTAAAACCATCTGCGGCAAAGTAAGTATAAAAGCCGTCAAAGCCTCCAGTCGTTATAAATGATTTATGATGTTCATCTACTAACAAGGCGATTACAATCGCGTCATATTTAGTTCCACGAATGGTATTGGTGCCTTCGCGGGTCAGAACTTCTTTCCAGGCTTTTGGCTTGATATGATAAGAATCGTATACATAGATTAGTGGTAGTTGTTGTCCTTTCCATTTACGCTTATAGAAGGATGGGTAATGGCCGTATGTATCAATAATGTACTTGATATCGTTTCGTACAGAATCAGGTGTCCGATCCTTGTAGGGCTCGATATGAAAAGTAATCTTCAGATTGTGCTCGTCAGCAGCTAACAAAAGGGGTAAAACAGCGGAATCGCTTGGTTTTCCTTCCGGATCGGATTTTCCAGGAGGATACCATGAAAGAACGACGACTCCTGCTCCTGCAAGTTGGATCTGTTTCATATGATCTTGAATGATGGTTTTATTCCAAGAGCTATACGGACCTAAAAAAGGATAAAAATTAGCTCCAATATCATCTGGTGGAGCATGACGGCCTGAATATTTCTTGTATCGCTCAGCTACAGCAGACTCCCAATGCTTAAGATACTGATGATTCCAATGGATATACTTTGCATCATTTTCAGGATTTCCATACCAAGCATAGTAAAAGATATGGACATCATAAGAGACAGCAGGATTATGAATCGTTCGATTGGCTGCCACTAGTTTATTACTATTCCCACTGTCTGCATGGTTGTCATCGTTGCTCTTGAGATTGCCTTCCATTTCACCTCTTGACTTCTTCATAATCGATCCTTTCATAGCTGTATCCTTACTTAGTTTAATAACATTACTATATTGGCTGCGAGGTTTGGTATAGTTAGATAACGAAAGAAAGGCTATAACCAGAATGAAAATGATGGCAATAAACGCGTAGAATCGATTACGAAATATAATCACTTGCATGTTATTTCCCAATTAGAAGCCGCCAACTCCCTCGACCCGACGACGATGGACAACCGGCGCTAGCACAACCACGACTAGCCACACAATCGCTCCTTTGTCACCGATATTTTACAGTACTGTGCAGTTTACACTGTACACTGTACACTGTAGTAGCCACCCAAATAATTTGGGACCATTTGGACCAGAAGGGAAAAGGGATCTCTATGGCTTGGCTTGACACTTCTCGATACTGTACAGTACATTATACAGTCATGATCCAGTACTTTATGGTGTACGGTGGCTAGACGTTAGTGGACATTGCACCGGACGGACAATCTCCAAATGCTACTGCATGACAGCATTCCCCAGTCAAAATCCAGCGACAAACTAGAGCAGTATCCCTATTACGGTACAGTCTATATAAATATCAAGCCGAAACGCGACTTGAACCCGACTCGAGGGAGGGATTCGGGTTGAAAATTTCCATGGCCATCCAGTGTCTAGCGATTGCAACTTCGAAAATCAACAATCGGATCTGGATTTATTAGGTTCGGGTTATATTTTCACCCTATTAAGGACTCTAAACGACAGACCATCGAGATAGAAAGTTGTTTCTTATATCTCTATGCTATAGACAGTCATAGACAGCCTTTGCGTTGATGGTATAGCGTAAGACGAGGACGACGGGTTAAGATGATTTTGGTCGAACGGCCGGAAGAACGATAAAATGACTATTGGCTTTTTCTACTTGTAATATTGTGCTTTGCACAGCACGGGGTGGCGTTATTTAGTCATCGATTTGCATTACGGTAGTAACAGACTGATACTAGACATACAGTAAGTGGATTGAAGACATGGAGATAAAAAGAATTATTTTTCTCTTATGGCTACGATTGAAGATTTCGCCCTTTCTTCTCGACAATATCATCGATCAATCTGAAATAGAGGATTAGAAGTTATCGTCAATGACTAATTCATAAGACAAGGATCAAAATTCTATATCGTTTGCTGATCAAACCACTATTGGGGGGCTGAAGTTTGTAGACTACTGCGGCGGTCAGATAAACTTCATACAAGATTGCTTACTTTGGCTTGATATTATTCTTAATACACGCAATGTAGATTATCTTTGTGGTCGAAACCAATAGGATAAAATCAGTTCCATTGGTAAGATCAACGAAAGAGAACGGAAGCAATCCTGCCTTCGGTTAACAGGGTATTCAAATAGTTACGAATCTTTGTGTAGCCGACATCAATAAAAAAACGGATGCCCATGAGACATGACTCACCGGCATCGCAAGGTCAATACCGATTGCTAGATTGACATTGCAGAGTTAATAAAATTAACTCTTGGTGTTCTATGCACGATTTCATGCCATGTTTAGGGACATACGTATACTTTCATTCTAATTAATTCACAAGAGTAAGCTAATATGTTTACAGTATACAGCAATGGATCTAGAATCTACTCGCACAGAATTCGCATAACCTATTCTTTTTCTACAATCCCTTTAATCTAAGAAAATTCCTGGTCAATAATTAAAAATATGCCCACATTATACAACAATGTATCTCGAATCTACTCGCACATACAGTAATTCGCATAGCCTACGAATTCTTTATCCACAGTCCCTTTAATCTAGGAAAATTTCAGGTCAATAATTAAAAATATGCTCACAATATACAACAATGTATCTAGAATCTACTCGCACATCATTCGCATAGTCTATGAGTCTCCCATGTTCTTTTTCTACGGTCCCTTTAATCGATGAAAATTTCTGGTCAATAATTAATCTATAAATGACTCTAAAATCAAGTGTACTGTAGATGATCAACATACGCGTAAGTAGACCCAAGCAGGCTTGAAAGACGCGTATAACAGAATATATTTATCGCGTTCGAGCTACATCAGCATTAAGTGTTTCATAATTAGTAAGTACAATATCGCCATGGCGAATAGGTTACCGGAAATCATCTATTTTATTGTCATCGTTTCAATAAAAACCAGGTAGATAGTAAGTTGGCATAAATAGATAAATTGAAAAGACATAGAGCTATCATCATGAGATAACAAGAAACAAGCTACTGTATCCGTAAGTTGATCAACCGATGTATAGCCTAGAGAATAGAATGCCCAGAGAGCAAATACTCTTCATTTTTCGTCAAAAGGTACATGATTTTAGAAACATTTGCACACTACGATCTAACGGAAACAAAATTTAATCGAAAAGAAGTGCATCAATCTCCTGAGCTAATAATGTAATCAATTATCTTAATACGATCGTTAAAATCCAAATGCTAAGTTACACGATTGCCTATCAATCGATGTTCACAAATGATGCATATATACTATCTATGGCCAAGGGATATCACTTTTACCGAAATTTCAGAAACTGCCTAGATTTCTGAACTTTGGGAGATGATGCAGTGTCAAAATATTCAGTACAAAAATTTTAATTAATCTATTAAAATTTAGCATACACTCATGTATAAATACACAAGCCGTTAATGAATTAGTTGAAGGGTTCACCACAAAGTAGCCTACGCTAATGCCAATTTAGCCGCTCAAGAATATCGGTTCTTCCGGCAGTTTTAAGATCAGACAGTTCCAACGAATTGAACTTGAGCTTTGCAAGAATATCGCGTCTTTCAATATGATCTAGAGCACATGCTAGAGTGTAAGTAGCTTTGAGGCAGTAATTTTGCGTATACCATTTCTCCAAGAGTTGATTTGCTTTATTATAATAATTTTTGTTCTCGGCGTCGATAACTGAGGTCTCGTTACAATGTATGCCTAGTGCACCCGCTAGCTTCTCCCAATCGATACCAATTTCTTTAGCTACGGTGAAAAAATGGCGCCTTGTATCAGCTGTAGACCCTGTAAGTAACAATAATTACAGCGTAAATTATTATCTTACTTGATGTAAAAGCAATAACTTTATTTAATTCTATTCTATAGGCTTCTACGAATAAATATATGACACAAATAAGCATAAATCTATCATAGTAGTTGCTAAAAGGTATAGCCTGTTCAGTTGAACCTAAACTAGAAATGGTACCGACAACAATTATGAGCAAATTACTATCATAGTATAAAGTATATGGTAATTTTACTACACTTCGTCTATCCCAAACTTACCCAGGTTTATCCAATCACCCATGGATTTTGCAGTTTTACCGCAATAAATACACTTTTTACAACGACTATCTTCTGTGAAACTGAACAAATTTAAGAATTGGCCACATTCGCTACATTTAACATAATTTGCTAAACTACTATTCATGGACTTTGGCATATACTTCTTGGCAGTATCGAAAAATCTGCCTTGAATAAGCTCTTGTGGACGACTTTTCCAAACTAATTTCTTAATCAGTTCGTCAGACAGATTAGTACTTTTCTTATAGAAATACCGCAAACTAATTTTGGATCTCTCCTTGACAATAAGCAGGTAGTATAAATCATTCTCCAAAAATAGTTTAGCACCTCTATAAAATAATTCTGCTTCCAGATTATTCCACTTTCTCAAGCAAGAAATAAGGAAAGGATAGAATATCACATCAGGAATATACGAATTATCCTCGAATTGGATATATAAGCTTTCTGATACATGATATCCAGCATCATTTAGACTGCCAATATCAATTTTCGATTTGAAATTTGGAGTAATGATAATCGGTACGAAGTACTCACGTCCAGCCGCTGCAACACTTTCGTTATTGGCATTCGCATTATTTCTTGGACATATGATATTGTAATTTTCTAATAGCTGTAATATTGCTTCTTTCTCTTTGTCGTCTAAACTAAACTCTCTTAATACGTTCGTTATATGACTTTCTTTCATTATACCGTCTGTCTTAATTTTAGTAATCCTGGTGAAAGAGAATCTTCTCGTAGCGTCTGCTTTTTGGCCGAAAGCGGATGCAAAGAGAACTTGGAAAATCTTCGCTAACCATTCGACTTGAGTAATAATGTATTCTTTGCCATAATCCGGCTTAACATACAATATTTCTCCTAGATCATGCAAATGTTGTAACATCTTGCACGTATCTTGATCGCTTCGAAATAATCCACAATCTTGAAGAAGTTCCTCTACCTCGTGCACGGACATCACTCTACGCGGGAAGTTACTGCTGTTTGAACTGCACGCGCATCCATCGTTAATTACGGATTTATGCAGTATAGATAGCAAGATATGCCATCGTATTGGAACACAGTCTTGCAATACAGGCATTAATTTAGTAAAATGCTGAATTAATTTGCGTAATGCCTGACAAGATGTCTCACGCTGTTCAATTGCATAAGAGCTAGTATCTTTCGGATTGCAATTAAACACAACATCGGACGGTATAATATGTCGACTGTACTGTGGAAAGGTTGAAAAAATTGTTTCTGTTAAATTATTGAAAATTCTTACAGTATCTGAGGTTACGCAATCATTATGAAATCCAACAAAGATAACGACAGGTAATGCAAATTCTTCATATATACCGACATCCAAGTCAGCATCGTCAACTTGAATTGGATCTGAAATGGCATCATCGCAGTGACCGTCAAGAACAGAGACTAAACATTCTTTGATACTATCTAGAAAGGTATTCAATGTTGTACGCTCCTCGTTCGTTGCAGATGTTTGGTTTGTAGCTTCAGTAATGTCCAATGTCAAAATATAGATGCTGTTACGAAGCGTAAAAAGTTGGCGTAGATTCCACGATATCTTACTTCCGAATTCCCAAACATTGCTGTAATAAGATCTTTGAGAATTGTCTGCATCACATAGTTGAAGAGACTGCTGCATGAAATCATTGAATGTATCTAAATATCGTCTAGTATCTACACTAGCATATTGAGTGCTTGGACTAGCGTTTAGATTCGTATCGGTATTTGAAATTCTTTCTTCAAGTCTGTTTTCATCATATTCAGAAGTGAAAGAAGAAATGATAGTAGGGTTCGCCTCCGGGACTGTTTCAATTTTCGAAAGTATTAGCTCAGATAAAGAACTCTCTTCCATTTTATACTGACTCTCCATCTGTTGCGTTATCGACAGCATTGTTGCAGCAATCTTTTTACCGACTATTTTACGATAGTCATCTGTCTTCTGTTTAAAGATATTACCAGTGGAAAGATCCAGCATTGCTTCAGTATTTTCAGCGACATATGGCGATGTAAGATTTTGCTTCGTTAACAACTTGACGATAAAATTTTTACCAGAATCGCTAGGACCAATAAATGTGAGGCGTGTGCAATCGCTATGGCATTCTTCATATATTGTAGCAATCATGTAAGCCTTGAAGTAATCATTTTCGACGATAACTACAACAACAATAACGTCTAGTTAAATTAAGCGCGTAATAAATAAATGCAAGTAACACTTTGAAACGTCCAACAACAAAATTTAGAATTAGCTTGTAAAATGAATGATTTTAGGGCTGAAAATGAATATTTAATATATCTTATATGTAAAGTAAAGCATACAATACAATGTCTTATAAAATGAAAGATATAAACTAAGTTATGCTTCCGTTAGGAATAGATTTCAGCGTCTCTACCTTATGGTATCTTATGAAAGGCATTTTGTATACGCGTAAAACTAGTAGTTGTTGGTAAGAAATTAGCTACCATCAAGTCGCAACTTTGGCTAATTACTTTGATAAAAATATTTCAGTTGGAAATTTCTGCTCTATTATACAGTTTGACTTGTAATACTGTACCTGGTGATGTAGTTTGTATCGGTGTTGGAATTTGTCCATGCTCTAATCTATCGAATATTTCCGAAGCTCTCGATCGCATATCATTTGCGTCGTCAGCTCTGCCATCCCTATCGTATAACTCCGCAATTTTTTGATAAATTATGGCTACAATATTACTTTCTCCATATAAATTTTGGAAAATACTGACAGACTTTAGAAACATTTCCAGAGCATCATGGTACTTTGACTGCTTTGCATATACATTAGCAACTACGAAATACGAATCAGCAATACGATGTCGAATATGATCATTTCTTGTTTGTTTCAGTCGCATGAACATAGCTACCTGGTACATCTTTAAAGCATCGCTGCATTTTTCTTGATTATAATGAATATTACCGATATTATGATAAGTATCAGCAATTATCCAGTGATTACTACCTAATACTTTCAAATTAATATCCAGAGACTTTCGAAACATATCATAAGCTTGCTGGTATTCCTCTTGCTGATAGTATATAGAAGCCAAACTGCTATACGACATAGCTACGTTAGGATGCTCTTCTCCATATATGTTGATGCAGATTTCTAAGCATTTCTGATGACTAGAAAGGGCCTCTCCATGATCACCATTATCAAATTTGGCCAATCCAATGTTACGGTAAAGTTGTGCAACATCGAAATTTGTTTTACCACCAACTACTAGGTAAATTTTAAGACATTTTTCAAACAATGATGCAGCTTCATGAAATTTACATTGATCGTTACATATCTGCGCTAATCTTTCGTAGCAGTCAGCAATAAGCAAATGATTATTTTCAAACAGTTTGTGTCGAATAGCTAAACTCTCTTGAAAGTTTGTGATGGCTAGTTTATACTCTCTTTCACAAGAGTAAACATTTCCAATAGCAAAGTATGAGTTAGCGATCAATTTGCTGAATTTCGCAAGTCTTTTTTGTCTTACCTTCAGTGCTTGCTTATAGGACGTTAAAGCATCGCTGTAATGTTGCATTGCTACGTATACATCTCCAATCTGGTGCGATATATCAGCAGTTGTAAGATGTTTGCTTCCGTTAATTTGTACTGATAGTCGGTAAGCTAAATTGTAATATTGTAATGCGTCTTCATGATTACCTTGTTGATGGCAAATCTCACCTAAATATTTCTCGCATTGGAGAAGTTTCTTGTCACTTAATCTTCTTGCTAGTAGTTTAGCACTCTCACAGTCACTTTTTGCAATCTCGTAATCTTGGAGATAAATAGAGGTTTTAACAATCTGGAGTGTGATCTCGAATCGAGGCAATACATTAGACCCTCCAATTCGATCCAACACTTGCCTATAAAGAGATCGAGCTTCTTCATAGGATCCTTGTTTAAAAAGCTTATTAGCTTCTTTACGTTGAAGTTTTATTTCCATTGGTTGTCGAAAGGAAATCAGTTTTAGCTGTAGGCTTGTGGGTATTAGTGAGCAGCGTTTTAAACTGTGAAAGGGTGCAGTTTTAATGCGATAGATAGCTGTGGACGAACGGAACGGCAAACACTTACTTCTGACTAGAATGCAGCAAGAATAAAAACAGATCGTATATTTCCTTTTTATTGCTATATCAAGTTATTCAATGATACGTATAGTAGCTAATCCGGCAGTTTAATAGGCATATGTCATTGTTACGAATTCTTTTCTAAATTACGAATGCCTCAAATTATTACTATCATATTCTCGGTGAATTTAAAAATGGAACAATAGTTCTAGTTTCGATTAATAGCTAAGGGGTGTAATTAAATATGTAAATAACTAGCGAATACCTTGTAATATAATCATTTTATTGTTACAGTTTTGAAATACATTAATGTGATAAAATCACCATACCATCTATTTTTACATGTCTGTAGACATGAAAGATTAAGCTTACAAAGAAAATTGGTTCGTTAATGAATAATGATGTCAATTGTTCGTTAATGGTATAGGTTAAGATTTAGAAATGCGAAAAATTAAAAGATTAACTGAAAGAAGAAAATTTGATTTATAACATTAATTAACGGTGATATCGATTTTGCGTTTTAAAGACGTGGATTAAGATTGATAAAAGTTAGAATATAAGTATGTTAATTTGACTTTTTTGCATATCTTTTATTAATACTATCCCAAGCCAGAAGATTTTGCTACAGAACTGCATATGTCTACTGATCCTCAAGAAAGAAAATGTTTTTTTGCTACTTGCACTGTTCAGGATGCTCTTGTAATTTTTTTACACTAGTCGGCTTTGTTAATACTATTAGGTGTAGGCATGTGATTGTAATCAATTAATTATAATCCAGATAATTTATTATTTTATACTAAAGAAACAATAAAACAAAAAAACCGCGGTAAAGACAACGTAAAACAAACCTCTAAATTACTATAGCTTCCGGGATTTATTATCCTTAACTACCTCACAAGAATTTAGACGCCTTTGCTTCTGCGGTAAAGAACTATAGCACTTTTCTTTTATTCAATTATCTGCCGAGCTTAATTACCCTCCGGCGCCAGCTATCATGTATGAGTCATAACAGATCATGCAATTTAGTTCTTATTGGAATAGCTAAATTAATACAGAAATTATTCATAATCTTAGAGATATACTGAACGATTCTAGATAATTAGATTACGGTATGTCTATACACAGAATTATTTATAGTATCCTCTAAAATTGAATATCTTCAGGATATTCATCACAAGCGTTACAAGACATAACACTATAATCAATTCATTTTGTTATATAGTAAATTATACTGTACTGTTGTAAGAGTTGTTATACGGTAGCTAATTTTAAATTGATCCATATTATTAAATTTCGATAAATTACGATGGCATATCATTAAATACCGCAAAATACTGTCTAGTGGCATATCATTAATTTTCTCCTACCCTAGCTCTTATTGTAAGTCATTATTAGCTATCTTCATATAGAAATGTTAATCACTAAATTTAGTCATTGACTCTTCCGGGTGATTCATGCCGTGACAGCCATTTAATATCGTGCTTTGTTTATCAACAATGATGTAAAACTACCAATCAATCAATCGACAGTGGGTCGTAGCAACATTGAAATAGACTCATATATCAACTAACAGACATAACAGTGAACATTTCCTTTTTTATCCTACGAACACCACCAATAATTAAAATTGTCATACTAAATCACATAATTATGAAATACTCTTTCGCTCTCTTACACAATGGTTGTCTTTCTTCATATTATCCATTAATTATAATTATTATAGGTCAATCGCGCTAGACAAAGTAGACGCTCAACGTGGTTTGCACGCATAATCTACATCATTTTCGGTTGCTTTCGCATAAATAAAACATAGCATACTAGTGTAAAGTTCTACAAACTATTACGTCATATAACATGGTCTATTCAAGGTATTCTAAAACCAGCAAGTAATTGCCGTCTTTTTACTAGACTATGCAGTATCTCTATATTTGCTCACTATGCTGATAGTATTACTAGTACATAACAAAGTTAACAGCATTGTCGTCAAATTTAGACTTTGAATGCTGATCGTTCCCACCAACGCTACTGTTCGATGAAAAGTTCAATAATAACTTATTCAATAATCGCTGTACTTTCAATCCTTGATATCATACGATTAGAGCTTGTAAAGGAACTAAATACTTGTACATCTAACGATACTCATAGCAGGAAAGTGATATTATCGCTTTTAATGCAGTTAAGAATACTCCTGCCACTTTTTTCTTTTTATATTAACAGACTTGGGTTAAGTAATTATAATGAGTGATGATGATTGATTTTTTATCTGATGGTAGAGATTCTTTTGTCAACAAAAGAATCATATTGACCAATATAGAGTACAATAACAATATACGAGTATGATTAATAAGAACTTACTATCACCATCGCTATTTACTATGCAACCTTAAAAGATCTTTCCCACAGGCAAAGAATTCAGTAACTAAAAACAGAGCAAGGGTATTTTCAATAGTATTAGAAGCGCTAGTACAGTAAAACTTGCCATAATTATATAATGCAACAGAGTCTTTGAAATTAGTCTACTAGCTTGTGAGATGATTCGGTCCAAGTTGAGTCTTTCGAACTTAGAAACCTGACTGGTATAGAATTTGCTAAGAAAATAGAGAAAATAAGGGATTTTTCTTCGAGTAGAGTACCTTGTTATGAGTTAGAAGTACCGTAGGTAACGATATTATTTAGAATCTCTTTCTCCGTCACCCGTTAGAGCTAATAAACCTGCCAGACATTACTTTCTACTCAATGCCATTGTCATTCATATTGCTCCATCGCCTACGGTACTAATTATAATTTCAATGGATGAGGATAATCGGGACCATTCATTAATTCCTATGCTTTTCTTATAAATTCCATGCATTACTTTAGGTAGAGAGATTGTTGAACTTCTAATGTTTCTATAATCCTTGTCTGATGTTCAAAGTTCGATATTAAAATTGTGAACTTTATAGTGCAGTATTCCAATTGTTAGCTCGTTGCTATAAATTTGCAATGTACTGAAATTCCTCTATCTGGCAAGAACAGAACCTGTTGTGGGCCCTCAAAGAGGCTGTAGACACTGTGAATAGTAATAGTGTTTAGTTGAGCATTATATTGCGTTGTTTTTGTTCATGATCAATATATAGAAACAAATGAAATTACGTAATTAAATCTAATTACCAACATAACGATGGTTAATTAACCTGGAGAAACTAAAATTTGAATCACAAAAACGGCAGCGCGCTTCATAGATGGCTATATCATCAAATTGTTCAGTTCGCTACTAGCTCAGCCCAAATATAAGACGAGCTTATTGGATCTTTAATAGTATTTTCGATGGCACTTTATATTAATTATGTAAATACAGTTTTTCTATCAGGAACAACTATCGGTAATATTAGGCTAAGGCGCAAGTATTTCGCATTCCCTTTATGAAATTCTTTTATTTTGATGAGTAAAGATTAAAAGCAAGGTCCAAAGAACTACGATATCTTTATTAGCATTAGTTAATGAACTAGAAGAGTTAAAAGTTTGAATCACGAAGAACATCGGGGTACTCCACAAATAGCTTTATTATCAAATTGCTCAGTTCCTTGCACTTTGCTTCCAAATATGAAACAAGCTTGTAGGATATTAAAATAGTATTTTCGATCACGCTTTATATTTATTGTATAAAATATTCTTTTTGTCAGCAGCCTCTATTTGTGGTATTATATTCAGGCGCAGTAAATATTTCGCATTTTGTTCAACAAATTCTTCTATTTTGATGAATAAAGATCAAAAATAATGTCCGATGAATTATGATATCTTTATTACAAACTGGCTCACTTTTCGCTTGAATTAATCGGAGTAATATCATAGGTAAGTGATAATTACAATATTTACGGTCAAAAATATTTTAACAGAAAACAAAGAACATCATTTAGGTAATACACAGCCAAAATTGTTTTATACAATACGATAGAAGATGAAATTGATTCTTTTCATAACTCATAGGATTAAAGACAAAAATATTTAATATTCGGTGAAGTTTAGCATTATTAGTTTCTGTAGTACTCAACTATACCATGTTAGAATAGCTCTCTTACAATTTTAGAGCCTATGATATTTAACTTTTGGCTAATATCCAAAATATAAGCATATTTAGAAGGGTAAATCGGATTAACTTCATGTAAAATCCATCATAAATCGATCAATCACATCCAATATTACCTACATTAATACAGTAATCAAGTAAATATTGGGTCAAAATGCTCATAAGGGTCTACATGTCAAGTTTATTGCCAGAGATTCCTAACTTTAGTAGAATATCATATCGATCAATATCTCTCAAAGCAGTAATCAAATTTTGAGTTGCATTACTGCTACAATTTCTATTAAACCACTCATTTAATAACTTTAATGCACGATCAAAAACTGTTTGATTTTCAACTTTGATTGTATCTACATCAATGTTAGCATCCAGCTTTGCTGCTAATTTAGTCCAATCTATCCCAATGTGCTTAGAAATCTTGAAAAAATAACATTGAGGCACTACAATAAAAGAATTAATGTAGAAATCAGTTAGTATGCCGATAATAGAGTTTGGTGTCGAGCAGTGATTGAGACTAGCTATTGATGCATAAGTATGCAAAGTTTTCTAGTCTCTAGGTTAGACTAAAAAAAGAAAAATAGATGCTTTATCGATTAAATTCATATGTAAATGGTACCAATAGAATTTGATTGTATACCGGTATCTGAACTAATGCTAATCATCTCACATTTACCGCTCTACTAATCATTGTTAACACAAAATTACAATAGACATTACCTTCTGAGTTTCTTGTATAAATCGTCCAGTCTTTCAAATAGTGAGTCCTAACAATTTGATGACAATAATGACACTCAATTGCTTCATAATCACGTTGATCTAATCCATTTAGAGTAACCATTTCATTGCAATGGCACTGTATGCTAAATTGGCAGTTATTGCAATTAATAGTGGGTAACTTTTCCTTCAAAATTGCAATTAATTGACTATAAACAAAATCTTGAGGGCGAGTTTCATCAATCACTTTCGTAATATTATCTTTCGTGGCATTGCTCTCCTTTTCGCAGTAATATCGTAAGCCTATATGGCGCTTCGCTTTTTTAACAATCAAATAATACGAATATTGATTGGCTTTAACGTAATATTTAACGCAATTATAGTATAATTCAACTTTTGAATTCTTCCACTGCTTGAAACAAGCCACGAGAAGGCTAATGAATACGCTAGTAGGAATAAATGATAACTCATTTTGATCATAACCAATATATAGCCAATCTGATACATGATATCTTGCTAAGTTAATATGGCCTAAACTTATACGGGGTTCTACTGTAAACGGTGCAAAGTAATACAAATCATCCGAATTATCATTTTCATCTTTTTCCATAGGATAAATCATATCGAATTTTTCCATTAAATGATATATAATTTGTTTATGTTTATCTGTAATAGAGATCTTCTTTAATATGTTATCTAGATATGATTGCGGTATTTTACCTTTAAATCGAGCTGCATAATTAATTAGGAATCTTCTTCCAATTACTTTTCTTGCATTTTTACCCATAGTGAATAATCTTCGGAATATATCGGATAGCCATTCAATTTGAGTTATAATGATTCCTTCACCTTGATTGTCTTGAAAATATAATATATCTCCGAGATTGTGCAAAGATTTCAACATATCATGTAAATCTTGATCGCCTTGATACAAACCACAATCTATTGATAATTGTTTTATTTCGTTAACAAACATGATTTTATTAATTTTATCGACTAATATAGAATTGACTTGATGATATGATCTATTCGACGATTTTAATATTAAATTGGACATAATTTGCCAACGAATAGGAATAAAATTTTTAAGTAAAGGTAAGGAATTATAGAAACGTTGTATAATTTGTTGCAAATGATGGCAGCTTTGTTTGCGTTGACTGATTGTAGCTGGGCTAGTATCATGCGGATCACAATTAAATATAATACTTGAAGAGCAAATATGCTTCTCATATTGTGGTAAAGAGGCAAGTAGAGCTTGCTCGAATCCTTCAAATAACCTGCGTTGTTCTTCGATATTTTGAACGCAGTCGCCATGAGATGCAACCAAAATAATTACAGGTAAGGAATATTCATTACTTATACCATCATTATCATAATCACTATTATCATCATCGCAAGGCTCAATTCTATTCTGATTGCTATGCCTGCCAACAATATTGGTTATACATTCTTCAATAGTTTGTAAATAAGTCATTTTATTAGGATCAATGTCTGTTGTTTGCACTATTTGATTAATATCTTGAGCAATGTTATAAGTGAGAATATAAATACTATTCCCTGACATGAAAGGTTGATGAGCAATCCAGTGCATGGGGTTTCCGCCAAAATCCCATAATTTACCACAATTGTAGCCGTGAGTTTTGACATCACTTTCTATAACTAAGCTGTGTTCGTAATAATTATTAAAGATATCCAAATAATGTTTCAAATTTACCGGTTTAGTATAAGCATTGGATAAGTAGTCATGATCACCGTAAGGTTTTAAGTTACCAATGCTTTCTTCATGCAATTGATTGGGTGTGATTAAAGAGGCCTGAATTTTTTCATTATTTAATCGAGAATCATCAGCAGTTTTAGCTATGGATGATTTTGAATGATTAGAATCTTTCATATCTTCTTGATAAATCATACCCCATTTAGTTGATTCTATAGCTGCAACAACTTTTCTATCCAGTATCCTACCAATGTCACAAGTATCACTGTCAAAAATTTTGTAACTATTTAAATCGATCATGATACCAGGATTATCGATAATTTGTGTTGGCATTAGATTTGGAATCAGTTCTTGTCGTGAGAATAATTTCATAATTGATGTTTTACCAGAATTTTCAGGGCCAACAAATACGATTGGTGTACAATCACTGCGACATTTTTCATCTTTCAGGACTTTCATGAAAGCTTTGTAATAGTTCGGATCCCCGATGGCTAAATAAATAATTAAGATGTAGAAATACAGGTAAAATTAGAAAACTTACAAAAATGCTTAATGAGAGGTAAGAAAGCTATTTCAGCATCAGTAAAAATGATATTATGCAATGAGTTTTTCGAAATATTGCAACTAAAGATGTAATAAAATCGAGTCATATCGAATGGAATAAACAATTACAATTTAATTAAAAGTATACATTTTTCAAGTACTCTAGTATACGATAATCCCTGTCGAATATTTATTACCATGTTGTGCTAATGCTATCGATTTTGGGCTATCATTTTCATCCGAAAAATTCTTTATAATACGCAAAGCTTCTTGATGCATACGGGAAGCTTCATTTTGCTGGTGCAGTTTTTCGTATTTACTTGCTATTTCCTTGTAGATAGCAGCCACTTTTTGGCATTCTCCATGTTGACTTAAAATAATATTACAATATTTTTCGAGCATAACGATAGCTTCTGCATCTTTGCATTGGTACGAATAAACTTTGGCAATAACGCGATATAAATCCGCGATATGTTTGCGATGGGAGTCATTTTTAGCGATTTGTAAGAGAATAAAGAGACTTTTTTGGTACATTAATAATGCTTGCTGATATTCTTCAATTTTCAAGTAGGCATTACCACAATTATGATAGCTATCGGCAATATCAAATTGGTCATATCCTGCTATATTTAGTTTAATTTGTAAACTTTTTCGAAACATCATGGCCGAATCATGATATAGTCCTTGGCCAGTATAAATACAAGCTATGGTGTTGTAGCATTTTGCAACATCAATATGATTATTTCCGTCGTATTCTAATTTAATTTTTAAACATTTTTGGATAGCGAAAAAAGCTTCTTCAAACTGCTTTTGGCGTAGGTATACTACACTAAGACGATAGTATAAATTACTATTTTCAATTTGGTAATCTCCAAAGACAGATACCTTGAGATTTAGACTTTTTTGATACATAGAGATAGCACTTTCATCATCATGCAATTTAAAATAAGTTTCACCTAAGCCATTATAAGTTTCGGCAAGGCCTAAGTAATCATTATCTGATTTTTTTAACCGAATATTCAGGCAATTTTTATAATTTTTCAGTGCTTTATCATATTGTTGTAAATGATAGTAAGTATACCCAATACTGTAATAGGATTGAGCTACTAGAAAATGATCTCTTCCCATTTTGTTGAGCCTTATTTTGAGACCATTTTCTTGTAGTGTTAGCGCATGATTATACTGATGCTGTAGGACATGGATCTCTGCGATAGCATGGTAACTGTCGGCAACATCAATATGTTTACTGCCGTGCACGGCTATTTTTAACTGTAGAGCTTCATTATAATCATCAAGAGCTGCATGAAATAGTTGTTGTTTTACTTTAATCTTGCCTCGACTTTCTAGAGCTTGAGCGATATGTAGGCGGTGTTTAAAAGTTCTTGCCATATTTTCTGCTTTTTGGCAGAATTCGATGGCATCGTTGTACTTTAATTGCTTATAATAAGTTTGTGAAATTTGTAAGTAAAGATCAAATTTCAATCGATCATGCGATATACTGGTATGTCCAATTTCTTGAATTTTTTGTAGTGCTTTTTCAAAACAAATTCGAGCTTGATCAAATTCACCTTTATTGAAGTGATTAAATCCAATGTCTACCAATGGTTTCAAATAATCGTTAGGATTGGGTCTGGTTTGGTGTCTCATGATTGACTAACTTTTGCGTTGCTATGCTCTCTAAAATGTCCAAAAATATCACATATTAGTGAATTGACAATTACTTGATGTTTTTGTATTGTATAAATGTATCCTTTAAGGTTATTTCAAGCACCTTTATGCTAAAAAAAGATAATTATCGCCAAAGAAGTATCGGTAAAGAAAGGTTGGGCTGATTTATAACTGTAATCAATCTGTCGCTAATCATTATAAAAGCACCTTCACACGTAATTCAGTAAATTGTATCTCTTCATGAAATCAAAATTCTAATTTAAATTGTTGATTACCTGATATTTCTGTATTTAAGAAAGATATCTTTATATCTAACTGGAGATTGTGTATCGAATTGGAATCGTTACGTTTCGATTATGAGATTAAATTGAAAGTAGCTTGAAAAAAACGAGGCTTTTTCAGCGCTTTTCGTTTTGTCAGAAGCAAATTATTTTTCTCTTGTCTACCTCCAACTTTATTCTTATCATTATTAACAATGTTCACCACCCTATTCGAATGATTGAATAGGTGGAAGTATCATACTGATTTCCTCTGTATCTAAATTTATAGAAGGATTGTATAGGATATCGTAATGTAATTCAATAAGCTTTTTAATTTCAGTTTCCAGGAAAGGGTAATTATATTATTGTCATTGACCACATTATCAAACCCTTTACCATTGACTATTTTACATCTGTGGCCTAAGAAATTATCATTTACACCATTACTATTATAATGATGTAAATGATTGACATTTTTGTGTATCAATTATCGGATTAAAGCCCAGGAGAAGCAACACTGATTGTCATGTAACAATCATACATACCCTTTATAAATCATAGTTAAAAGTCTCAGTTGGATGCAATTTTGACTCATCGCTAGTTAATTAGAATTATTCTAAATGGAATCTATAGGCCTATTGAATGTCATACAATTAATGTCTGCGCTATACTGTAATCGTGAATCACGTATATGTTATAAATCATTGTTAAAAGTATCGATTGGATGCCAGTCTTTACGCATCGCTAAGTTAATTAAAATTGAATCTTAGTGGAAGTTATTGGTGGACTGACTGTAGTGCGGTTAATATCTGTGCTATAGTCGTGTATCACATATAC